AATTTTTTGTTGAGACACGTGAATGCAGGGCATCTTTTACAAAGGCAATTCCTGCTTTCCATGCCACGATCTCCGCTGGTACTAAAATAAAAAAATTCTCATTAAAATTTCAACTTTCATTTTAGATTCAGGGAATACCTGTGCAGGTTTGTTACATGGATGATATTGTGTGATGCCAAGGTTTGGGGTATCATTAATCCCATCAACCAGGTAGTAAGCAGAGTACCCAATAGGCACCCTAGCCCCACCCCTTCCTTCATCTAGTCGTCACCAGTGTCCATTCTTCCCCATCTTTATGTCCATGTATATCCAATGTTTAGATCCCACTTATAAGTGAGAACATGTAGTATTTGGTTTTGTGTTTCTGCATTAATTCGAATGCTTAAGATAATGGCCTCCAGCTGCATCCATGTTGCTGCAAAGGACATAATTTTATTTTTTTTTATGGCTGCATAGTATTCCATAGTGTATATGTGCCACATTTTCTTTAGGCAATTCACTGTTGATGAACATCTAGGTTGATTCCATGTTTTTGCTATTGTGAATAGTGCTGTGATGAACATATGAGTGCATGTGTCTTTTGTAGAACGATTTATTTTCCTTTGGATATATACCTAGTAATGGGATTGCTGGGTCGAATAGTAGTTCTATTTTTAGTTCTTTGAGATAATTTCTCATCTTTAATCATTCTTGATCACTTCGGATAACTGCAACAGTTCTGTTTATTAAGTCTTGTAACTCAGCCTTTTTTCCTTCCTAATGTTGGAACATCCCCTAGTGGTGAAAGAGTGTACCAGCAGGCCATATACAAAGGCTATGCTTGTGTAGCTCAAAACCTTTTTGGTTGATATTTATTGTAGAAATTATTCCACCTGCCTTGTTTTACTGAAGAAGTTGAGACCAGCGTGAAGGAACTTGCATCATAGTTCATAGTTCATGTTGAGTTAATTGTTATTTAAGGAAAAGTTAAGGTTGTGTGTTTTTTTTGTTTTTTTGGTTTTTGTTGTTTTTTTTTTTTGGCTGCTGTGCAACAAAACTTTTATTAACATTTTGAGCAGGTTCAGCTATCACTGAAACTGGTCATTTCTAAATTTAAATTGGGACAAATGGCTACGGTGCAGAGTTAATGCCGTTATTGGACACTGCGAATAGGAGACTGAAGAACTGACAGCCATGCCTCAGGTGGAGTCCAGGTGCAGAGTTGACTCTGGATGTTGTAATCAGAAAGAGTGTGATCTTCCAGCTGGTTGCCTGCAGAAATGCGCCTCTTCTGGTCAGGGGCATACTTTCTGTACCCTGAATCTTGGCCTTCACATTCTCAGTGGTGTCACTGGGCTCCTCCTCCAGGGTGATGGTCAGGGTCTTCACAAAGATTTGCATTTTGACCTGTTAGTGAATTCAGAGATACTGCAAATTGTGAGTCACCGCCACTGTTGGTTGACAAAGCCAGCCACTGAATCTAAAGTTGACCCTTGTTTTGTGCTCTTTTCATTTATTTTTGTTTGTTTTGGGGATGAAGTTGTAAATCCTGCTGTTGTAATGTAGTAAAGAACCTGGCACAGGATGCACACTTAATTCTTAGGGGAATTAGTTTGATAAAAATAATTGAGGGCTGGGTGTGGTGGCTCACGCCTGTAATCCCAGCACTTTGGGAGGCTGAGGTGGGCAGATTGCTTGAGTCCAGGAGTTTGAGACCATCCTGGGCAACATAGTGAAATCCCATCTCTATAAAAACACAACAAATTGGCTGGGCATGATGGTACACACCTGTGGTCCCAGCTGCTCAGGAGGCTGAGGCAATGGGATTGCTTGAGCCCGGAAGGCGGAGTTGCAGTCAGCTAAGGCTGTGCCACTGCATTGCAGCCTGGGAGACAGAGCAAGATGCTGTCTCAAGTTTTTTTTGTTTTTGTTTTTTAATTTGCTGTTACTTAAACGCTGTATTATGGGCACATGCTTTTTCAGCTGGGCCAAAATGTAGAGGAGGTAGAACTAAATCTAATTAATGGAAATATACTTGTTAAAGGAGGCTTCAGAAGGACAGCTTTCTCTTGTCTGGGGTAAGATGCAGTCAAAGAGAATGGTCTGATAGAGCACCATGATGTATTTCAAAGGTTCCTGCAAGTTGAGACCCAGAGTTGGCCTTGCGTTGTAGAATTAGAAGTTTAGGCGTATATTCAATCAACTATTCAGTTTTCCTTCTAGAAGGCATTCAAAAGGCACTGATGTCTCTTCCTCACTCCCACCCAGCCCAGAGGTAGCTATTGTCACCAATTTATTGATGTATTCGCCTTTTTGATTATCTCAGGGGTAGGTGCCAGTTTTCTCTCTAAGCCATTTTGCTTCTGCCAGTTTTGAATATTCAGTCTAGGACTTATCATTGTTTCCTATTGCCTGCTGCAGCATTTTTCATCATAGATAGTAGTAATGTTTTGAAATCTATCTAGCAATCATAAGAGTCTTATAATTCTTAACCTTGAATATGGAATTTTAAAGTTACAGACTTGAGAACAATTTAGGGGAAAGTATGAAAGTTTTAAGAACACAGTAGTAGCTCGAATAATTGAAGTAGAAAATCTCTCAATGATGTAAGTGGACATTTTGAGAATGCAAACTGTTTTATTACATTGCATATAAATGATATTTTGCATATTTTCTTATTTTATAAAGAGAGAGTAAAATGCACGTATCATTTGTCAGTCCAAAGGTAACTTCCCCCTTTTTGCCAAATACTATACAATTAGACAAAACTCTGTGGGATTTCTCTGAATAAAAGAGTTGATTTTGTTTTTTAAATAGTGTATATAAAGAAGTAATAAAGTACCTATCCTGGAATGAATGGTATAGTGTAGGCTAAACTCTTCTTTGTATTGATCCTAGTATAGGTAATTAGGTTATCTTTCCTAATTATAACTTATTTTGTTATAGCTATCACATTGTTTTGTAACATACAAAAAAGTATAATTATACAAAGACTCCACTTTACAAATGTAAATACAGTCTTGGTTTGGTGTATATTGGATACAATGGTCTTCCTTAAGCCTAAACACAGAAACAAAAGCATATTATAAGAGAAAGTCCAAGATGGGAAGTGATAAAGTGGGTATTGAGTAGAGCTTTGTTAAAATTTAGCTGGTATCCTTGTAAAATTTCCACGTATTCATTAAATTAGATTATGTCATTCTTATTTTTAGGAACTGACTTGAAGTTTTAAGTTTTGCCCTCATAAAGAATTGTCACAATTTGGTTTTATAGTTGGATGATTCTGATTTTTGAAAAATTCTTTTTATATATATTTGTATAGGCATTAAAATTGAAATTGTTTAGTGAGTAGAGTTAGGGCTTTAAACATATTGGGGCATATTTTATTTCAACAGCAAAAAGTAGAACTGATTTTGAACTGTACAAGGTTATCTTCTCAGTTGCTATAAATTTTACAAGTTTGAAAATAAAATAATATTTAGAATGCTAGCTGTGCTGTTTATATTTCAAGATCATTAAAGCACTCTTGGCTTGTGTGGTCTTTAAAGATGGGTTTATCAAATCTTTATTTAACATTGGTAGGTATGTTTAATTCTCAGAAAAAAGATCTAGGACTACAAAACAAAGCAGGATAATTCCTTCTCTCATTCAGCAGTACAAGGTGTCACAGAAGTCTCAGTGAAGTTTTAATTTTTAAAACTCCAGAATTATATATGTTATAAACTTAAACACCGTTGAGAAAGTCAGTTACTTGAATTTCTTTTATAATTATTTTTGTGATTTTTTTTTTTTTTTTTTTTTTTTTTCTCAAATTTTTTTTGAGACAGAGTCTAACTCTGTTCCCCAGGCTGGAGTGCAGTGGTGTGATCTCTGCTCATTGCAACCCTCCGCCTCCCAGGTTCAAGCAGTTCTTTTGCCTCAGCCTCCCTAAGAACTAGGATTACAAATGTGCACCACCACACCTGGCTGATTTTTTTATTTTTAGTAGACATGGGTTTCACTATGTTGACCAGACTGGTCTCGAACTTCTGGCCTCATGTGATCCTCCTGCCTTGGCCTCTCAAAGTGCTGGGATTATAGGCGTGAGCCACTGCACCCAGCTGTGAATTTTGAATAATGCATTTTTTTGGTGTGTGTGTGTGTGTGTGTGATGGAGTCTTGCTCTGTCATGCCGGCTGGAGTGCAGTGGTGCAGTCTTGGCTCACTGCAACCTCCACCTTCCAGGTTCAAACAGTTCTCCTGCCTCAGCCTCCTGAGCTACCTTGCCTGGCTCCTTTTTGTATTTTTAGTAGAGATGGGGTTTCACCACGTTGGCCATGCTGGTCTCAAACTCCTGACCTCAGGCATTCCGCCCACCTGGGTGAATAATGCGTTTTTAATTTTAGTTTTTTACTTCACTACTGCTGAAGATGGCAAATACTGACTGAAGGAAAAAATTAAGTTAAAAATGTGTTACTCAGAATTGCTTTGCTTGAACTTTTACTTGATTACAGGTCATTCTTTAAATCACTTTGGGAAATTACTACTTTGGAATTGTAAGCACATACATAGACTATCCTTAAAAAAATTCAACACTGTCCACCCTCACTATTATAATATTGTTACAGCTCATGAGAAACTCAGGTTTGAAGCAAAGATGTCTTTGAGGTTTGGAGATTTCTGTGTCTGAAAACAACTCATCTTGTTTTAAGGAAAGAAATCTGACTAACTTTTGGCATAGTATAGGATAAATATTATACTTTAATTGTTTGTAGTAATTACATAATGTGAAAAAATAAGTAAACTTTCAAAAATTAACGTATTTAATTTAGTGAGATTTTTTTCCAGTAGCTTCACTTTGTCCCATACTGCTTTTTTTTTTTTTTTTTTTTTTAAGACTCGCACAGCAAATCAAGTTTATTATAAATTCAAGGAAGGGTTTGGTTAAGCACAATAGCCTATAAGCTCCTTGCTATTCAGATAACATCAAGACTCAGGCATGCACTGTGGAATGGGAACTTCGGTGAGCTAACTAGCTAGGATTCATTCAGATAATAGGAGCTCTACCCGTGACAGATGGCAGAAGGGCACATCTTCTGAAAACTTACTAAAAATTGGTGAATTACAGAATTCTAAATTTTAATATCTTCATCATTCTGAAAGCAGTTCAAACAGAACCAAAACAGAAATATTTGGCATAAAATTGTAAATTTTTGTGCTTAGTTTTATTTTTATTCTTAAGAGCCAGCTTCTGAAAGCCGCCTAATGTCAGGAATTGGGAAGAGTGATGACACAGTGCTATTGGTGAGAAAATCCTTCAGTTTTTTTCTCTGATGTAGAATTTGACTTGATTAAAACCATGGCTCCAGCAGTCCGCAGAAGTCATACTTCTGTAAGTGTATCAGTTTGGGTTTATCAGTTTGGTATTCATGCTTCAAATGTCTAATTAGATATATAGTAGAATTGTATTTAATATATATTTTTATTTGATAAGCAGTGTGCTTTAAATATGTTTATGTGGTTTTTTTTTTTTATCCTCTTGGAGTCATTGAAATAATCAGAGCTTTTACTTATGTACATTTAAAATTTAAATATGTTTATAACATACATATGTTATAAATGTAAGAGCTGTTGGAATTGGCACATTGGAGTTGACTAAAAGTTTATGTGAAAAGTGAATTCTTGGGTAATTTCCTTTGAAGTATATAATGTACTCAAAGTGAATATATTAATTGGAGGTTTTTAGAGCAACTTTTTATTTGAATTATTTATTTTTAGCACTTTGGTAAAATTTGCTAAGACTTAATTTGCTTTAAAAACCAACTACATTTTAGAGAAATTACACTCATAAAAAGAGTAATGGTGTAATATGGTTAAAAAATTGTATTTTTAAAAGTATGAAAATAGGTTGCTATAGGCAGTGAACTATCAATAATAAGCCCATTTAAAACTAATTGGAATAGTTCTTTCTGTGGTCTAACTGTAGAAGATGAAGTGAAAAATATAATTATGCTGAACTAAGGTGAACGAACTCTTTCTATAGATATTTGGAGAAAAAATTTTAAATGTAAGTACATGGGCTTAGTGAAAACATTGGATTTTAACAGCAGTTCCTTTCTACAGTTATAAAACATGCTTATTCATCTATTTATGCGTACATTCTACATTGAAAAATTTGGATTTACAGGAGTGGGAAGTCTATAGGTTTGTGGGAAATTGATAGACAAGGGTGGAGAAGAGTAAGATTCAAAAACTGACAGAAGTTTGGTGAATAGAGTTTATGGTTAATACCTGGTACACAGTAGACTGAGTCAGTGGACTTTGGACCCCTAGAGGCAGAGTCCTCAATATTTGTGGCCCTCGCTGCCAGAAATAAATGTCTTCTGAAAATTTTCTTCTATCTAAAAGCTTCAGATGGGTGGATATTAATTTTTAAATTTTTAATTTTTTTAGCAATGGAGTCTCACTGTTCTGCCCAGGCTGGACTCAAACTCTTGGACTCAAGTGGTTCTCTCATTTCAGCCTCCTGAGTAGTTGAGACTATAGGCATATACCACTGCACCCAGCTGTTTAATTTATTTTTTGAAAAGCTTTTCTATTATCAACAATTTCTACACATTAAAAAGTAGAAAGACTAGTATAATGGACTCCCATGTACCCATTCACTCAGCTTTTAACTTAGCTTTAGCAGTTATCAAACTCATGGCCATCCCCTGGTCAATAAAGATGGGTTTTTTAATTTAACAATTTTTAATTTTGAAGTAACTTTAAACCTCCAAAAACGTTGGTGTATCAGTGTCAGGTTGCTTCTTAAGTTCCTTGATTAGCCTTCTGATACTTGCATAGTCTGTTGTGGTATATCTGCTTATTACTGATATTGGTAATTTGCACCTCTCCCTCCCCATTTTCTTTCATTTTGATGAGTCTAGGTAGCAGTTAACAATTTTATGGATTTCAGAGAACCAGCCTTTTTGGTTTCAGTGACATTTCCTCTATCTTTCTGTTTTTTTATTTTATTTACTTTTTTCTCTGAATTTTATTTCCCTATAGCAGTTATTCTGGGAGTAATTTGCTATTCTTTCTCTGCTTTCTTAAGGTGGAAGCTGAGGTCATGACCTTTCTTCTCTCAGAGACTGGAATTTAGTGCTGTAAATTTTTTTCTAAGTACTGTTTTTGTGGCATCTTACACATTTCAGTATATCATTTTTATTCAGTTCAGAATACTTTATATTTTCCACTTTGACGACTTTGACCCATTGGTGTTTTAAAAGTTTGTAATTTTTTTTTTTTGAGACGGAGCGTCACTCTGTTGCCCAGGCTGGAGTGCAGTGGCGCGATCTTGGCTCACTGCAGCCTCCGCCTCTGGGATTCAGGCAATTCTTCTGCCTCACCCTCCCGAGTAGCTGGGACTACAGGCGTGCACCACCATGCCTGGCTAGTTGTTTTTTTGTTGTTGTTGTATTTTTAGTAGAGATGAGGTTTCACCATGTTGGCCAGGCTGGTCTCGAACTTTTGGCCTCAGGTGATCTGCCTGCCCCAGCCTCCCAAAGAGATGGGATTACGGATGTGAGCCTGCGCCTAGCCTTATTTACTTGAAAACAGTTGTATTATTTCAGGTCTTAGGTTTACGCTTTGTTAGGCAGTACCAGAGCAGTTTTTGTTTGAGGCAAAATTTATCCCACTAACTAAAGGAAAAATCTGAATACCCTTCCTGATTCCTTGTGGCTAATGGGGTTTTCCACTGTGGTTGGTAAAAATGGATATGATTCCCAGCCTTTTGTGAGCCCTGGTGGTTTAATCCCCTGAATCATTTTGGGTGGTTCTCTCCCTGGCCTTCGGTAGTTTCTTCACACACAAGTGCTGAGCAGTGCGCAGCTGAAGGCTTGAGGGAGTCCGTCTTGCAGATCAGTTGTCTTCCTAGTGGGCCAGACTCTCTTCTGGTGATCTCATCAGCAAACCTCATTGCTTTGGTGCTGCCCAGACTTCTGGTTTCGTCTCCCAGACTCAGAGAAACTGCTTGGCTCCCTCGGAGCGACCTGTCCTCCCTCTTTGTGTGACCCGTGAAGTGTTTTCCGTCAGTAAAGTAGGACGGTTGTAGGGCTTGCCTAGTTTGTTTTTTGATGTCTCCGTTATCAGTTTTCTTCATTGCCTGATGTATAATTCCTCGAAAACGATTACATGATTTGTTGTTGCTTTAGGGCAGGAGGGCAAGGATGATCCCTTTTGTTTCAACTTGGTTGGAAGCAGAAGTCTCCATATGAGAATGCGAAGTAAGCCCTTCCCTGAGGAAGCAATTTTAGGTGGTGGTGATTGGAACTGGAGATCAGAATTGGTTATCAAAAACGACCCCATGGGATGTGGTGGCTCATTCCTGCAATCTCAGCATTTTGGGAGGCTGAGGTGGGAGGATTGCCTGAGCCCAGGAGTTCTAAACCAGCCTGAGCAACATAGTGAGACCCTGTCTCTATTTAAAGAAAACAAATAAACCCAAACCCAAACTGACCCTGGTGACTGCTGAGTGATGACTACAAGATTCACTTTTAAGCCTTAAGAAGAATCACAGAGTAAAGGTTAACCTCAGACTAGTATTGTTTAGCCGGGACAGTGTCACAGCAAAAGGTCTTTGGTTTATCCTTTGATAGTAGGCCTGTACGGTATTATTAGTTTACACATTCAGGTGATGATGGCTGATCTTCTCTACAGGGAAAGAGGCTGGGCTTACTCTCACCATAGTCTCTAGTAACAGGCGCAGCCCTTGAGAATAACTGACACCCAAAAGTGTTTGATTTTATGGAACATTATTATGGTGGACTAACTCTGGTAATATGCTCTAGGACCATTACACTGCCCTAGGTGGAGAAGACCTTGTTACCATGCTCAAAAGATTTCGTATGGTCATACGGCTTGTTTAGAGGAGGTTGGACCCGATAGTGTGTAAGGTTTCTCCTTTTCCACAGTGGCACCGAGTTCATTATCTTGCTGGTTATTTATTATTGTACCAATGTTTATGTATTCACATATTTGATAAGAATGTCATAGTTAGGAGTGAAATTATTAAAACGACATAAGTAACTGTATAGACAGACCCGTCTCTTTTTTGAGATGAAGTCTTTCTCTGTGGCCCAGGCTGGAGTACAGTGATGTGATCTCAGCTCACTACAACCTCTGCCTCCTGGGTTCAAGGAATTCTCCCGCCTCAGCTTCCTGAGTAGCTGGGATTACAGGCACCCACCATTATGCCCGGCTAATTTTTGTATTTTTGTAAAGATGTGGTTTTTCACCATGTTGGCCGTTCTGGCCTTGAACTCCTGACCTCAGGTGATCTGCCTGCCTTGGCCTCCCAGAGTGCTGGGATTACAGGCGTGAGCCACCAAGCTCGGCAGCTAGACCCCTCTTTTTGGTTACTTTATGATAGAACATCAGGAAGTTTCAACAATGTTATGTATGGGGTTACTTTAAAATTCTGCATTTGGTTTTTACTTGGCTATTAATTTATATCATCTTAAAATAAATAGCTATTGTTACTTAGTGCACATTTTTAAAATCAGGTCATTGGCCGGGTGCGGTGGCTCAAGCCTGTAATCACAGCACTTTGGCAGGCTGAGACGGGCGGATCACGAGGTCAGGAGATCAAGACCATCCTGGCTAACATGGTGAAACCCTGTCTGTACTAAACAATACAAAAAACTAGCCGGGCGAGGTGGCAGGTGCCTGTAGTCCCAGCTACTCGGGAGGCTGAGGCAGGAGAATGGTGTGAACCCGGGAGGCGGAGCTTGCAGTGAGCTGAGATCACGCCACTGCACTCCAGCCTGGGCAACAGAGCGAGACTCCGTCTCAAAAAAAAAAAAAAAAAAAAAAAATCAGGTCATTTATTCAGTAAGCATTTTCGAGTGCGTACCGTGTGTCAAGCCTGCTGTGCACTGGGTAGATGAGTAGCGTATGGGATCTGAAACGAAGGCAGTAATATTCCCATCGTGAGATCAGCCTCATCTAAAGCAGTGGTTATCAAACTCGGGGGGCTGAAACCCATTTGCCTTCTTGAAAATTTTTGTGGATGCTAAAGAGCTTTTATTTATGTGGACTATAGCTATTGATACCATATATGAATTAAAACTGATATTTTAAATATTTATTAAAAAAATAATTACATTTTAAGTAACATTTTTAGAAGATATTTTCTGAAAAAGCAAAAAGTTAGAAAACTGGCATGGTTTTACATCTTGCAAATTTCTTTAATGTGTAGCTGAATGTTTAATATTTGAAATACAAAAAAAAAAAAAAAAAGGAAAAATATGTCAGTGGGCTCAATGAATTTTTTCCCTGGACAAACTTTCTAGGTAGTCAGAAGCAATCAGAAGGTTGCCCGGTGGACTTGGAATTGAATGCTGGAGTCAGCCGAGTGCTCTCCAGTAGGAGTAACCTGCCATAGTGATTGGCTCTTGGCCAGGGATTGCCATTTATGTAATTGGTGCTCAGTCAATATTTATTGGATGATTAATAATCTCTGAGAAGTTTTTGGGTTGGTTTCACTGCTAGTGTTGTAGCTCTTTACTGTGCTACAGGGCATAAATTTGAGTTGTGTGAAGTACTTTTAGCTCAAGATGCTTAAACTAGACTACTTCTGAATCTGTGGAATGAAAAAGGAAGACTCTGTTAGTAGTTCCTCTCAGAATATAAATTGTTCTGTATCAAAGTTGTTGCTAGTCTGAACGAATTAATGAAATATGCCATGTTTTGTGGTAGTTAAGTAATGCAGGTTGAAGCACTGGTATCCCATTGAAAATGTCATTAGAACCAGCTAGCACTTTAGAAACTACTTATGTGTCATCTAAAGTTTGATACATCCCATGAGCAAGTGATGAATACATCACTGCTTTGGAAGAATTCATATTTAAACAAAATTTTATTAAATATTAAAAGAACACTTCAATGGTATAAAACAGCGGTCCCCAACCTTTTAGGCACCAGGGACTGGTTTCATGGAAGACAGTTACGGGTGGGGAGGGATGGTTTCAGGATGAAACTGTTCCGTCTCAGATCCTGAGACATTAGATTCTCATAAGGAGCGTGCACCCTAGATCCCTTGCCATGCGTGGTTCACAGTAGGGTTCATGCTCCTATGAGAATCTAATGCCGCTGTTGATCTGATGGCAGGTAGAGCTGGGGCAGTAATGCTTGCTTGCCTGTCACTCACCTCCTACTGTGTGGCCCTGTTCCTAACAGGTCTGTGACCAAGGGGTTAGGGACCCCTGGTATAATAGGCAATTGATGGAATGAAGTTGTATCGTCTGCTGAGATATAAAATAATTCACTAACATTTGTTCCCTTTTTTCCCTCAGTGATCTTCCATTGTTTTGAAGCACAAGACCTTTAAACCACTGTAGGTATGGACAAGGAAGAAAGGAAGATCATCAATCAGGGTCAAGAAGATGAAATGGTAAACAGCTGTTCTAATTTACTTGTGAAGTATGAAGACTTTCTCTCTGCAATTTATTATTTTAGGGACTAGAAAAAGACAATTAACAGTAGCAGCAGCAGCTAACTCAGTGGGCTTCTTTCTTCATCCTGTGCTTTTGAATTGGGATTGTGTAGTATGTCTATTAGTTGCTTTTAGTATAATTCTTTTTTTACTTGTGGTCTGTTAAAACTTAGAAGTATGTTTTTGCATTTGGTGATTTAAGAGGTAACATTGGCTAATATAATCCTAAATAAAAGATTTAAGTATAATACCAAATAAAGATTTCTCATTTTGACTTACAAAAATTTTCTAAAATCAGCTTTCTCTACTTTTTGTTGGTGGGAGCCAGAAAGATGTCAGGTAAAGTATAAGATGCCCTGTTAAATGTAAAAATCATATAATCAAGGGAGAAATTTTTAGCATAAATATGTCCAAATGTTGCATGGGACAGACAAAAGGATTATTATTTATTTGAAATTTTAATTTAAGTGGGCCCCCTGCATTTTCATTTGTTAAATCTGGCAATGCTTGTTGGGGGAGCTAACCTGAAACTATGAGACAATTTGTCAGTAGATCAAATTGATCATTTGCAGTGGTATTGGGACAATTAGTAAATCATTTGGGAAACAGTAAATTAAAATCTATTCATCCAGATGTACTGTGATACTCTCAATTATATCGTGCAACAGAAATAACATGTTAGTGGAAAACTAGTGAAATCCTAAAACAGAGTTTAGTTAATAGTAATACAGCAGTGTTAATCTATTGATTTTTAACAAATGTACCAGGAAATGTTAACATTAGTGGAAACTGCACAAAGGATGTCAGGAACTTCATAATATTTTTGCAACTTTTCTATAAATCTAAAATTTATCTCAAAATCAAATGTTAATTTAAAAAAAAAGCCCACCTCATAACAAGATAAATTCAAGAAGAATTAAAAAGATATGTAAAAATGAAATTGCAAACATTCTAGGAAAGTGTACCAAATACGAATTTACTATATCAGTGGAAAAGAATGTATTAGGCATAAATTAAATATAAAAACAAAGTGTAAATACCAACAAATTTACTTAAAATATTACAGTAAACTGGTCAGAAACAAAATTTAAAGGTAAATTATGGATTGAGAAAATACAGTTTATGTGACAAGACGATAATACCTATCTGGGAAACAAAGAACTTTGGAATGTATTTATCTGCCATATCGTTTGATAATTAATCGTGTGATTGCTGTGTCCATGCAGGAGATTTATGGTTACAATTTGAGTCGCTGGAAGCTTGCCATAGTTTCTTTAGGAGTGATTTGCACTGGTGGGTTTCTCCTCCTGCTCCTCTATTGGATGCCTGAGTGGCGGGTGAAAGCGACCTGTGTCAGAGCTGCAGTTAAAGACTGTGACGTCGTGCTGCTGAGGACTACTGTAAGTTTATGTGTTTACTTGTAGCTGGTTATTTAAGGCGTAAAACAGTGTGTCTGTGTATACTTTATTCACAATAATAGCTGAAGGGAACATCGCTGCCTGGATAAAATGAGGAATGCTAATTCTAGTATTTCTAGAGGATTTGTGTTTGAATTAACTATTATTATAGTGATTAGAGTTTAAAGGAATCTTAAAGGTAATCAAATTCACCCCCTTCCTTTCATATCTCTTATTGCCCTGAGAGATTAGATACTTGTCTGTTAAGGCTACTGGTCCATTAGGACTGTAGTCCAGATCTCAGTCACTAGGCCAGCTGCCTGTCTGCTGTGTGATGCTGATACATCTCAGCCTTTTTTCTTTTTTAAAAATCCTAACTGGAAGCATATTTTAAGAGGTTTTAAATCTAGTCTAAATATATAGGCTAATTAAGGAATTATTCGTGTTATTTTATGAAGTATTGATGTACTTGTCGGTAAAATATGTCATAAAAACCATGAGCAATGGAAAGCACTTTATATTTGAATTTAAGCATCCTCATGAAATGGTTTAATATTTAGTGAGTAGGAATGATGTTTCCTCAATTAGAGATGAGGAAATAATGTCTTGTGAAGAATGGAAATTAAATGAAAATACAGGCAGTTTTATATAAAATTGACTCCTTACCCTTACCCCTTTCTCTTTAAGGATGAATTCAAAATGTGGTTTTGTGCAAAAATTCGCGTTCTTTCTTTGGAAACTCACCCAGTTTCAAGTCCAAAATCTATGTCTAATAAGCTTTCAAATGGCCATGCAGTTTGTTTAACTGAGAATCCCACTGGAGAAAATAGGCACGGGATCAGTAAATATTCACAGGCTGAATCACAACAGGTATTGTGATCTTAACGTCAAAGTTTCTTTAAAAATCAGAATTGTTACATTTTATGCTATCATGTATATTCTATAATTTTGTGTTTGCAGTTAATGCTTGAGATAAATTTAAATGCATATAGAATATTACATATTACTATATATAATGCTATATATAATCCTATATATAGCTTTTAATAGAAGTAACAGATTACTTGTCACAAGTGATAGTATGGTTTTTGGTGTAACATTTATTTGTGTTCCACAGATTCGTTATTTCACCCATCATAGTGTAAAATATTTCTGGAATGATACCATTCACAATTTTGATTTCTTAAAGTAAGTATCTTCCTTTTGTTTGGATTATACTTTGAATATCCTGAAAACATTCTAGGTAGAAAAGAGTCCATTCTAGTACTCATGAAATTGCTGAGGTTTTAAATTTCTATTCACATATTAACAGCACCTTGTTGCTGTTTGAAGGCTCATTAGCCATTTTAAAATAAGTCCCACCGCAGCTTGCACCATGGCAGCGTTTACATGAAACTTAGAATCAGTATGATGCCAAAGTCTACTGAGTCTGAGTTCTTACCTGTTGCACCTCAAAGTGACTTTGAGTATACCTCATAGCCTGTATCTTAACTTAGAGTATCTGAATCATTACCTGTTTACTGACACTTGGAGCCTGTGGTACTTCAGGAGTAGAGTAATAGGCAAATAGAAATTAATTTTAATATGTAGATACAGAATGGGGCAAGCTGTAGTAATTCCTTTATTTTTAATTGAGGATTCAAGTTATATAAGTACAAATTAAGATTCTATTTTATTGCTCTTAGAATGATTATTATAAATACTCATTAATATCGTTGCTTTAGAGTGCCAAAGGAATTCTTAATTTTAGCGGTAAAAAGAAAATCATGTTATGAACATCTAAAATATTCATACCTGTAAGTTTCTATTGGAAGTAAAAAATAAAATATTCATGCCTGGATTTTTTACTCAGATACACTAAAGAATTGGAACATTCTGGAATGGGCATGGGCATTTTTACATGCCTAGTTCTAAAAACCATTCCTGATTAAGAACTATTGCCTTAAAGAAAATTGGGCCAGAAGCAGTGTCTCATGCCTGTAATTCTAGCACTTTAAGAGGCCAAGATGGGTGGATCACCTGAGGTGAGAAGTTCAAGACCAGCCTGGCCAACATGGTGAAACCCCATCCCTACTAAAAATACAAAAAATAATTAGCCAGGCCTGGTGACGGATGGCTATAATCCCAAATACTTGGGAGGCTGAGGCAGGAGAATCGCTCAAACCCGGGGGGCCGGAGGTTGCAGTGAGCCGATACTGCACCACTCTGCTCCAGCCTGGGCAGAAGAGCAAAACTGCGTTTCAAAAAAACAAAGAAAATTGCCAATGGGCTGTCATTTTGTTTAAAAAAAAATTTTTTTTTTTTTTTTTTT